GGATACGGCAATACTATATACCGGAAAACACCGGAAAACAACCGGAAAACACCATTTTATACAAAATACCGGAAAACACCGGAAAAACACTAAATACCGGAAAACACACTAAATACCGGAAAATACCCTAAATAGGTAACCCGGAGACTGGCACCCTAAATAGGTAACCGGGAGCCTGGTCCTCTGTGTGCCTGGGTTAGGGTTTTGGTTAGATTCCGGTTTATAGTATAGCCCTTCTTCGGGTTACCTATTTAGGGTGGTCCGGTATTTAGTGTGTTTTCCGAAATTTAGTGTTTTTCCGATGTTTTCCAGTATTCAATATAACATGGTGTATTCCGGTAGTTTCCCGGTGTGTTCCGGTAGTTTTCCGGGTAACCACACCGGAAAATCCCGATGAAGTGTCTCGGCCAACGCAGGGATCGAATATGGAACCTCCAGGTTAGCGAGCCAACGTTCTCTCAGTGAGCCACCGTGGCTCCCGAATAATGCCAGTATCTCCTGCCTGTTACCCATTGAGGACGTAATGCTGATATTTAGTTGGAATAATCACGCAGGGATCGAATATGGAATCTCCAGGTTAGCGTGCCAACGTTCTCTCACTGAGCCACCGTGGCTCCCGAATAATGCCAGTATGTCCTGCCTGTCACCCATTGAGGACGTAAGGCTGATATTTAGTTGGAATAATCACGCAGGGATCGAATATGGAACTTCCAGGTTAGCGAGCCAACGTTCTCTCACTGAGCCACCGTGGCTCCCGAATAATGCCAGTATGTCCTGCCTGTTACCCATTGAGGACGTAATGCTGATATTTAGTTGGAATAATCACGCGCATACCCAAAAGTAGACATCCTTGATGAATTGTGATTTTACTTTTCCTACAAAAAAATGGTTGTAAATCCATATATGTATTATGCCAACTTGACGTACATGATAAATATACCTTAGATAGCACAGAGTCTTTACGGGTCTCAAATGTTCGACCATTGTGTTGTGAAACAGTTCTGTGTATTTGTAAGCAACCGGCATATAATGGGGCCCTTCGAGGTCAGTGTTTAATCTACTGAAATACTGAAACACTGAAATTTACTGAAAACAAAAATTAAAATACAAAATATAATATGGTCAATGATGGAGGTAGACTGATTGCGTCTTTTAAAACATTCAAAACATAATAGGCATCAACAAAATTTTGGAGAAAAAAAAATCGGAATTTTTTTTTTTTTTTGGGGGGGGGGGGCTATTTGTAAAACGAACATCGTAATGACCTTGACCTTCTTTCATCGGCGCTCACTTGGTCCAAAACCGCACAACGGGTGTTTTCCGGTATTAAGGATGTTTTCCGGTTGTTTTCCGGTGTTTTCCGGTTGTTTTCCGGTGTTTTCCCTGTGTTTTCCGGTATATAGTATGGCCCCAGTAAGAACAGGAATAGACTTTTGTGGACCAAATAAAGTAGTTAAACGACGGTGATCAGTAATAAGGTCAAAATGTCGCGAGGATCACGTGGCTAAGTGGGTAAGACGCTGGCTCGCTAGCATGGAGGTCGGATGTTCGATCCCTGCATTGGCCGAGAAAGTTCATCCCGATTTTCCGGCGTGGTTTCCCCTTGTCAGTGATGCAGGGCGGAGGGCCTGCCAAGGACAGCTGTCTAGTCGTTCGGATGGGACGAAAAACCGAGGTCCCGTGTACACATTGGCGTGCACGTAAAAGATCCCTTTGGCAGTTGGAATTCGATATAAGAGTAGGCCGTGGCGCCGCTGCCCGGGCAAAATTTCCCTCATAGCACACTATGCCCGTCTTCATTAGCCCAGATTAGGAGCAGAACAGTAGGACGTTAAACCCCATTTCATTTCATTTCATTTCTGTAAAATGTCGCCCATGAATGTACTGGTATAATCGTTTGCCAACATATATTATGGATAAGACCTTTTTATCGATTTCGGAATATCCTGTTTTGGTTCTGAAAACAAAGGCAATATGACGCTCAGACCTGTCAGTCATCACAAGCTAAAATGACAGGATTCGCCATATCGTAATGTACTGAAATGTCAGAATTAACTGTCAAGTTTTTGGAAACTATGAATGCTTTTTGTACACTGATTTTTCTACATCCATTAAGCATTTTTTTTTTTTTTTCTAAAAGTTATTTAAGACTGTAGAAATGAGACCTATAGTAATTTAAAAGTAATACATATAAACGTAATTCTGTGGAGCAGGTGCATCTGTAATCGCACGTACTTTCTCTTCAGAGGTGTGTAAACCGTGTTTATTATTCTGTGTCCAGGATATTCTACGCAATTGTGAAAAAATATACACTGTTTTCCAAATTTTCAAGATGTTCGATATCATTAGAACCTGTAACTAAAATGTCTTTTTGATAACAAAGCACACATTGCTTGCAAGGTCTGGTTCATTGCCTGTTCAAAAAAACTTAGACCTGTGGTGACGCCAAAGGCTAACCGGTTGTACTGATAATAAATATAAACTTTTACTGGTTTTAATTGTAACATATTTTCTTGAATCGGGACCAAGTATTATCTGTTGGTAGAGATGTGTAAGACCAATCTTCGTAAACTTTAGATCAAAACGCTGAGACTGATAATTACAAGAATTGAGAGTTAATTTAAATTCACCACATATCTACACACATGAATCTGGTTTCACTTCAGAAACAATGGGTGCAGCCCATTCACTATGTTGTTCTAATTTATCAAGTTCATTAGAAATTTTCTCCTGTAGAGCATGGGAAATATTTCATGGGTTGTAAAACTTAGGTATACAATCTTCTAGGCAGGAGTTATTGACCTCATTTAACGTAAAATTAAAGAAATGACTGGTGTAAGTTTCGGTGTGGGTCAGAAAAGTAAATTATTAATAGGTTACGGGTAAGCGTCAAATAAAAAAAAACAACCCGAAAGCTAACATTGCATCGCAGTTGTAGTTATTGTGTTGTTATTATGAGTATTCAGGGGCCATACTATATACCGGAAACACAGCAAACACCGGAAAACAACCGGAAAACACCGGAAAACAACCGGAAAACACCATTTTATACTGAATACCGGAAAGCAGCGGAAAACACTAAATACCGGAAAACACCCTAAATAGGTAACCCGGAGCCTGGTCCTCTGTGTGCGCTTTTGGACCATGTGAGCGCCGATGAAGGAAAGTCAAGGTCATTACGATGTTCGTTTTACAAATAGCCCCCCCCCCCCCCCCCCCAAAAAAAAAAAAAAAAAATTCCAATTTTTTTTCTCCAACATTTTGTTGATTGAAAGTTTTAAAAGGCGCAATCAGTCTACCTCCATCATTGACCATATTTTATTTTGTATTTTAATTTTAGTTATCAGTAAATTTCAGTAGATTTCAGTGTTTCAGTATTTCAGTAGATTAAACACTGCCCTCGGAGGGTCCCATTATATGCCGGTTGCGCCGGTCTCCTGATCCTTATCAGTAACGCTGGCATCAGGGTGGTAACAAAAAATCGCATCATAAAACAGCAAGTATCATCAAAAGCGAGTTAATAAATCTCTGAATAGTTCGAGTTGAAGTTCCAGGTTTAACCGCTATGTGTCCTAATCACCAAACGAAATGGATGCCACGCAATTCTCGGACAGGCTGTAATCTGAAAAGTGTCTATCCTTTCCAAGAGCTATCCATCTCGTTTGAATGGCTAACAATCTACTTGCTTCTGAGCTTACTTTCATTCCAGGGTCAAATATAATCACTTGAACCATAATAATATTCAACATATTCCATCATATTCCGAGGGCCGCACACAGGATTTTTTCTGGATTACTTTTCGAGCTTTTTACCCCATTTTGTTGACCAGTTTTCCTTGAGAAAACCCTAACTTTCGCCCAATTGTCCATGAGAAAACTACATATTCTATCTTACTGCATTGACGGGAAGTGGTAAGCTGAACGTCTGTGAAAAGGGTTGATCGATAAATTTTCAAGGAAGCAATTGTTGTTTTTGTTTGTGAAATAGAGGACTCTAGCCGATGAGCCTACTTTCCCCCCCGAGAACCTAAGGCAACCAATTTGTTTTATGTACTACTATCGTAATAAAACAGAACTATGTTAACCACTTCCTGGTGGCTGAAGACTTACACCGAATGCGTATTCGGAAAAAAATGTCCCCGAGAAAATGTTTTTTCAGGCAATCGATATTCGAGATGTCTTCTGTTGCACAAATTATGTTGCACTGTGTAAGAACTTGCATCCTTTGATCTGAAGATTGTAGATGGAAAAGTATCATTTGCACTATTTCAAAGTAAACCTGCATTTTCGTATATCATCCCGTAATTTGTGATTAATGACAATGACTGTGGAAATAATATGGGTTGAGGAACGGAAGATCTATGTTCGTCACGTGACTGGAAATTCCACCCCGTCCCACCCTGACGATGATCCCTCCCGGAGCGGCGCGGCGCGGCGCGCTCTCTAAAAAAAATCTCGGGCACAGTTTACTCTTCTAAGTTTTCCGGTAGCTATTTAGTAACCCGGAGTTTGGTCCTCGTGTGTGGTTTTGGACCAGGTGAGCGCTGATGTAATAAGTTCATTAATATACAAGCAAGCGATCGCCTACGGTCAAAGAAAAATTTCTTTTCAGATTTTTTTTTAACAATTTCTTCTCCCATATTTCTCTCCAAAAAAAATTCAAATTTTTTTTCCAGTATTTTTCTAAGTAAAATTATTTTCTACGGAATGTTTTTTTGTAAAACCAATTTTTTGGAAAAATTCGAAATTTTTGTTTTGTGACCTTGACCATCCTTCATCGGCGCTCACTTGGTCCAAAACCGCACAAAGAGGATCATGCTCCGGGTTACCTATTTAGGGTGTTTTCCGGTATTTAGTGTGTTTCCGGTATTTAGTGTTTTTCCGGTGTTTTCCGGTATTCAGTATAAAACGGTTGTTTTCCGGTGGTGTTTTCCGGTATATAGTATTGCCGGTATTCAGACATTTAGTATTGTTCATTATTATTATATTGGTATTTTCCAGGTTAGTCTAGATTCAAGAGTTCGTGAAGTGATTAATAGAAATATGGTGGATCCAACACCACATACTTTTGATGAAGCACAATTACAAATATTTACATTAATGCATCGAGACTCTTATCCAAGATTTTTAAATTCACAGATTTATAAAAGACTTGTGCAACAAACTTCGTGTCATTAGCTCAGAATGTAATTCCAGTGATTGAATCTAAAACATATAAATAAACGTGATGTGTGTCTATCTCGGGACACAGTGAGATTTAGTATGATTGATAATTACAATATTTTAATTTCTTATATAAATGGGAAAATATTTTCTTTTCATCGAATACATGTGAAATAGAGGATACACACACTTTGTTAGTCATTTGATGTCACCTATTTTCATGATACGTGTGTGAAAGAAAACGTTGGATGTAATTTGCTTGAATGTCGTCCAGTTCTGTTTCATTTTTTGTTCTGTATTATCTCACATTAATTGGTGGCGAGGTACATAGAGAATGGTTTACTAAGTTAAAGGTGCTTTAATTAACGTGGATCGTTAGCAAGTGTGCAAATATCAACACATCATTAGAATACAAAGTGGTATGGACTAAAAGATAAGGTTTTTAGAGCTGAATTAAAGAGATCTATTTGATATCCGGGACCAACCAAAAATACGACACGGATTGGTGTCTGCATTTGACGTTCAGTGCTACTGGTGCAGTTGTGATATGCATGTTACAGAACTTGATAAGTATTTAATAGCGTTTTGTTTTGCGTTGACTTGTGAATCATTTTAAATATTACCAACTTTTACTGGTGACAGATGGATTTTGAACTTTTATAGATAAGTCGTTTTTAAACCATGCCATGTCACATATTAAACAGTCAGGGAACACATAATTTATTGTTATATGTTATTGAGTAGCAAAGAATTCTGTTGATTATTTTTTCTTGGCTTAGAACTTACATGGATGTCATTATTATGTTATTTATAAAATAAATGAAAATAATTTTCTTTTTATAATATTTTAGTGTCATATTAGAGTTGCCACTGTGAGTTGGCTCGCTAACATGGAAGTCCCGTTGCGAACCCGGTTTGGCTTCGAAAGTCGGGGTGGGGGTGGGGGTCTCCCGGCGAAGTTTCCCTTTGTCACTAATGTCACAGCAGGACATTAAAATCCATACTCAGCCAAATTAAAAACTTGACACTGATGAATTTCAACAAATTTTTTTTTCTGGTAAGTCAAATAAATTTTAAAGTGTTTCTAACGATAGTAAGTAGTAAGAAGCCTTTAATTTCATAAAATTGTAAAGTCACGTGGATCACGTGACTTTTGAGCATATAAAGATGAAAAACCTGAAAAACACGTGCAAACAAACACGTGAGGCCAATCGATGCAAGTTTGCTTAAACTGAACACGCACACGTAACTTGAACTGGAAAAACAAATTAAAATTGTTATTTTCATCTTTGTTAGAAAATGCCGCGCCTTTCAAATGTAGAACGACTAGGTAGGCTCTATGCTGGTCAGTCTGTGGTCACTGTTGCAAGAGCCTTTAATTGTTCACGCCAGACAATAATTAATCTTAGAATGAGAGTGCTTCAAACTGGAACTATTGCCGATCGCCCAAGGTCGTCTGTGCACAACATAACACTAAAATAGTTGCCTTAAACCAAATATTAAAAATCTAGTCCCAAAAATCCCGAGTGTCAAGTTTTTAATTTGGCTGAGTATATATTATGTCAACATCAGTATCTTTATGTAAACGTACACGACTCGAAATGTCAAAAAAATGAAGTTTCGCTCTTAATACCGAATTCCTTATGCTAGTTTTTCTGTATTAACGGCGATTCACAGGCAACTTGAAGGGATTAAAATAAATCTTATTTCTACGGCTTGACTATATATTACAACTTGTTGGCGACATTTCGTCTGATATCACCCCATCAATACTCACTAGTTCTAATACTTCGCGCCGTTTTTATACGCCCACATTGAAATGTGGTCGTATATTGTCGTCGCTCCCGTCCGTCCGTCGGTCCGGCGTCCACAGTTGCTTGTGGACTCTCTAGAGGCTAAAGTTAATATCTGATTGTTTTTAAATTTATACACAGTGTTTAAGGTCATGGGACGAAGAAGCCTATTGATTTTCAGCGATTTCGGATAATTACTGCCAGAGTTTATGGCCCTTGATCACTTCAAAATATCTTATGGATGCTCTAGAGGTCAAAGTTAATATCCGATTGACTTTAAATTTATACACAGTGTTTAAGGTCATGCGACGAAGAAGCCTATTGATTTTCAGCAATTTCCGATAATTACTGCCAGAGTTATGGCCCTTGATCACGTCAAAAAAATATTCTGAACGCTCTAGAGACTAAAGTTAATATTTGATTGACTTTAAATTTATACACAGTGTTTAAGGTCATGCGACAAACGAAGAAGTTCGGATTATTACTGCCATACTTCAAATTTATACGCAGTGTTTGAGGTCATGTGACGAAGAATCCTATTGATTTTCAACGATTTCCAATAATTACTGTTAAAGTTATGGCCCTTGATCACTTTGAAAAATCTTGTGACGCTCTAGAAGCTTATGTTATCATTCGATTGACTTCAGAATGATACACAGAGTTTAAGGTCTTGAAACGAACAAGTATATTGATTTTCAATGAATTTTGATAACTTGAACAGCTAAATCCATGATATTAAATATTTCGTATACTAAACGTTAGCATGGGGCAGAAATTTATAAAAACAAAACAAATTCTAATGATTTTCTGATAATTACTTAATCAGATTTTAGTGTATTATACATGTTTCATTACGGAAAAAGTAAAAATATTCGACAATTCTTGTTGACTGTTGACGATTTAGCTTGCTGTGGGCAACCTATCTTTGTTGGGGTTTTTTGCCAAAGAGACTTTTTTGATCATTATACAGCTTCCGGTGTAATGAAAATGGTCTTACAAATTAAACTTGAAGTTTTATTTTAATCCCCTCAAGTGTCTGCAGGCAAAACTAAAGCATGCGAACCTATTTGGTAGAAGATAACCAATACTGAATGCCGTCGAACAATGACGAATGGCATAATTATAAATTATTATGTCACCACATATGACAAATCTTACCTCTAATTGTTAAATACGAAATAACCAGTCGCCCGGAATTGGTAACATAAATTAAATGAGACTGGATTTAAAACGGTCGCTGATATAGCAGATGTGGGCAAAAACATCATACACTCGATTTAGTATCCAAACTGTTAAATTTAATTTCAAGGCCAATTTAAGAAACCCACCTAAAACCCCTTTCTCTATTTTCACCCGTCCGCAAGCCAAATGTCATTTTCATTTCATTTCGTATTGTTTTTTAAATGGTTTTTATTAATCTATTTTATTTCATATGAAAGCTTGTTGTTTCTGTTAAGATTTCTATACTACGTAGTTTAAAAACTATTGTTTTTGTTCGGATTATTAGGCTTTCATATTTCGTATGAAACCTTTTTGGTTTTGTTAACATTATTAGGCTTTCATATTTCATATGAAAGCTTATTGTTTTTGTTAAAGTTATTATTATTAAGCTTTCATATTTTATATGAAAACTTATTGTTTTGTTAAAGTTATTATTATTATTAAGATTTCATATCTCATATGAAAGCTTGTTGTTTCTACTAATACTATTATTATTTGTTTGTGTGTCGGTGTGGGTGTGTGTGTTTGTGTGTGTGTGTGCAGGGCCTGCTACTGATGCATAAACCAAATATGGAGTTTGTCGCTCGAACCGGAAATGCCACCATTTCGAAACATGAAAAATCCCTAGGGCATTTACGACATTTTACTTACGTTTTCTGAATCTTGATGGACACCATTTGAAAGTGAAAAATCTACATTAACGTGTTAAAAAAATTAAAAAAAAAAAATAGTTCGTAGTTTGTTGAATTTGTCTCTTGTTTCCAGGATGGATCAGGGTCAAATTATTGGTAATTGAAAAATTCAAATTTTCGAATTTGTAAATACTCGGAATAGACAGTCGTTTTGTGAATTCGTCTCCTAATTCCAAAATAAATACATTTCTGGTTAGCTTCCTTCCAAGAATGGGTAGTGGCTTTGGAATCAATATATACTCTTAAAAAAACGTAGGGGATATTGAAATCCAAATACCTATGCAGGTTGCGATATGATAAATAATCATGATCATTTGACATGCTTTGAGAGTATGTTCACAGATGAAGAACTTATCGCCCCAACAGAACCACTGAGCTGCACGTGCGACACGAAATAGCGCCATACACGTGGGAGGGGTTCAATTCTCATATTTGACACTTCAAGGAAGGATTGATGAAAACTCCCCCTTACTGGTTTATCTATCCATGTTTGCTTTCCTATTTACTGTTTAACATATCTTTGCTTCATTGTGTTACGTTTAATTTGATCGGGAGATGTGTTCGTCGACGTCAACGTCAACCGACAACACTGGAAGAATTGGCCGTGGCACTGAAAGTGGAGTGGGTCAGATTGCCCCAAATCGTGATTGGACAGTTGATTAGGAGCATGCCGCGAAGAATTGCTGAATGTCTGAGGATTGATGGAACAATTACTCATTATTAAGACAAAAATCAAAAAACGTCCATTTTCACTTATGACGGCGTATCTCTTTGCGAGTGAAATGGGGCCGCCCATATGAACTGTTTATGTGCATGCGTAGGCCTGTATCAAAAGGGTGTATCTATGCAAATTAGTCAAATACACTTTTTATACGCCCACATTGAAATGTGGTCGTATATTGTCGTCGCCCCCGTCCGTCCGTCGTCCACAATTGCTTGTGCACGCTCTAGAGGCTAAAGTTAATATCCGATTGATTTTAAATTTATATACAGTGTTTAAAGCCATGAGACGAAGAAACCTATTGATTTTCAGCGATTTCCGATAATTACTGCCAGAGTTATGGCCCTTGATCACTTCAAAAAATCTTGTGGGCGCTCTAGAGGCCAAAGTTAATATCCGATTGACTTTAAATTTATACACAGTGTTTAAGTTCATGAGACAAAGAAGCCTATTGATTTTCAGCGATTTCCGATAATTACTGCCAGAGTTCTGGCTCTTGATCACTTCAAAAAACCTTGTGGATGCTCTAGAGGCTAAAATTAATATCTG